TTTGGTGGATAAGTTTGAGTCGAAGCAGATGGTGTACTAGTTGGTTGGCTACTCTGAGCATAAGTGTTTACTCCACTAGCAGAAGCAGTACTGAATGGTGGAGATGTAGAAGCTGGACCATATTGTGTTGCACCAGGACCAGGACTTGGTTGATTACCATAATTTGGTTGAGGACCAGTATTTTGTTGAGATCCAGCTTGAGGAGGTTGGGCACTAGATGTAGGAGGAGCTGGATAATTTTGAGGTGGAACATTATTTGCATATGCTTGTGATGAAGGAGGAGGATAATTTCCAGGTTGACCAGCTCCATATGCATTTTGAGGTGGAGCTTGAGATGGAGGTTGTTGATAATTTGGTTGTGGACTAGGACTACCATATTGTCCCGGTTGTTGTTGTCCACTTGATGGAAAGTTTTGTTGAGAAGGATTAGAAGGAGGATAACCTTGTTGATTGGGTGGTGGTGGTGGACCATATCCTGTAGGAGGTTGAGTTGTTCCTGGTGGTGGATATCCTGGTTGAGGACCATAACTATTCACAGTAGTTGGAGGACCATAGTTAGGTTGTGTCGATGTGCTATAGCCTTGTTGCTGAGAAGTATTTGGTGGCCCATACTGATTTGGTTGACCTGGAGTATATGCTGATCCCTGAGGTCCTTGATAATTAGAACCAGGATTTTGGTTAGCATACTGAGCAGGATAAGTTTGTTGAGAAGGTTGTTGAGGATAACCTTGAGGTCCTCTATATTGTTGTGGCCCAGGTGCAGCAGGTGGTCCTTCAAAATAATAGTATATTAAAATTAAAAAATAGTATTGATTTATAAGAATATATTATAAGAATAAAAAAATTTTTTAAATATAATTATATTATAATAACATACTATTTATAGCAGGTCCTTGCCCAGGCATAACAGGACCACGATATCCTTGTGACATTGGCTGCCCTTGACTAAAGCTTGACATTGGTAATGTTGGTTGACTATTTGGAGGCATATCACCTGCAGGTCCACTTGATCCTGTAGGAGCATTAGGAAGACCTTGTGGATTCATCATACCATGTTGAGGACCATTAGGAATTCCTTGCGGAGGCTTATTAAAAAAGCAAAAATAATATTAATATATTTTTATTTTAAATATTTAATCATTTAATAATTAAATATTTAGAAATATTTTTAAATATTTAGAATATTTCTTACTGGTAATAATGCTTGTATATTTTGATTTGCATCAGCAATGGATGCCAAATATACTAAATTCCGATGTAACATTTGCTGATATCTAAAAAAAAAATCACAATAATTATATTAGTATAATTTAGATATACTTTAAAATTAATTATAATTATGTATATTTACTGTATACATTCTTGAGGTTTTCCTTTATTCTGATATTCTTGTATTGTCTGTATTAGCTGACTATTTTCATCAAGCATCTATTGTAAAAACAAATTAATTTATATAAATGTAAAATATATTATATTATACAGAATAAAAATGATATTTTAATATTTTACATCAATAATAATAATAATTCATTACCTTTTGTATTTGAGCAGGATTCGGTGGTGGCCTGCCGCGTTGAGCAAAGGTCACGGACATTTTTAAATAGAATCAATCGTCGAAAGATCACAATAGATAATATAATTTATTGTTTTTTTTTTTGCTCTTTTTTATTTAACTTGTGGTTCCGTTACCTTTCTCTTTTGTATTATTATATTCATTTGAAACTTTTTTACAAGGCTTTGTACCAGTATTGGTTGTTCACATTACTGCATCATATTCTTAAAAGAGAAGCACTTTTAATATAATTTTGCTTCAGAAATGCAAAAAAATCACAATTTTATTTTATTAAAATTGATATTTATTGAAAAAATTCTAAATATAGCAAATTCCTGCTAATAATTGTTTTGTAAAATTTCTAGTTTTACAAATAAATTATGATGGATGTCCATTTCTAAAATAGAGCTTGGGATAAGAGCGTACCAGTGGCAAATTCGTGAACTATGATAGCAAAATATATAGGATAATACGATATACAGGATAAGACAATCTAGTAAAAATTAAAAATCTGTTATTTGTATTAGCAAAAATTGTATAAAATATTAAATATAAAAGATTTTTAATAAAAAAATTGTATATTTATCAATAAATAATAAATTTATAACTTATTCTTAAATAACTTAAAACTAATGGTAAAAAATTTTTATTTTCATTATACAATAAGAATTCGTATTCTTATTATTACTTGAAATTTAAATATATTTTTCACATTTAATTTTATATTTTTAAATCTAAATATATAAAAAATATTTTCTTTTTATATTTTTTTTTTGTTGATATAATTTGAAATAATTTTTGTCTTTTATGTTTTAATAAAAATTTGTATTGAATTTTTTACATAAAAATGATTATATTCGTATATTTTATATTATATTATATTATATTTTATATTATATTATTTCATCTATTTATTGATATGATTTGAAACATATACAACATGAAAGTTTTTTATGATTTTATTATATTACGGAACACGTAACCTTAAACCGCTGAAAATTAATTTATCTTCTTTTATAACAGGAAAACTTACTTTTTGCTGGTATTTTTGTTAAATAACATGACTACGACAAAGGTAAATTGTAGAAATACAGAAAAAATAAATATTATTAAAATAATACACTTTTAGATTGAATTTGCAGTAAACATGACTTGTCAAAAATGTGTTGATTTAATACGCAATACATTAACCGGTATAGATGGAATTGAAAATATTGACATATCATTAGAAAATAATAATGTTATTGTTGAAACAAATTTACCATATTCTATAATTCAAGAAAAAATTGAACAATCTGGAAAAAAAGCTGTTTTAAAAGGATATGGAGGTAATGTTGCATTATATTTTTCTTCGATTTCTAAAGTAAAAAATTACATAATTTTTTATAATATAGATACTTCTAGTGCTGTTACAATGTTAGGAGGAAATTCAGGATATACTGTAAATAATAAGATAATGGGTGTAATAAGATTTGCACAAACTCCTGATGGTTGTCTTATAGATGGAACAATTGATGGTTTAACACCTGGTGAACATGGTATACACATTCATGAATGTGGTGATATTTCTCAAGGTTGTGATAGGTAAGTATATATATTTTAGGTTTCTTTTTTGTTTTAAATTTTTTGTGTTATATTTTTAGTGTTGGAGAACATTTTAATCCAAATAATACAATACATGGTAGTCCTAAAGATGACATATTTAAACGGGTAAATATTATAATTTATGCAAAAAAATGTAATATTATAATATAATTATAATATTACATTTTAATATTACACTTAATTGTAATGAATTATTTTTAAATAAAAAAAATATTACAGCATGTTGGAGATTTAGGAAATATAATGGTTAATGATTTTGGTAGAGCTACTTTTAGAATGATAGATAAAGTTATAGAAATAGCTGATATTATTGGAAGATCTTTAGTTATAACAGAAAAACCAGATGATTTGGGAAGAGGAACTAACCCAGAATCTAAAATAAATGGAAATAGTGGAAATAAGTAAATAATATAAAATGATAAAATAATTTATATATA